AGAAGAGAAGGACACTAGTCTCAAAAGTGGTTGATGGGAATGGTTAATAAGGAGACTTACTCTTCCTTCTTAACCAAGTTGGAAGCTTATGTTGGAGAAACTAGCTTCGAAATTAGTCAGAAAGCTTAAGTGGGGTAGATAATAATATATTATCTATGAATAAATTGAATGACTCATTCGGGTCAAGAGATATAAGTAGGGATATGTTACATTTTATTTATGACAATGGCTAATTGGGGTTTGAAAAGTTGATCACTTCAAGTATAAGAAAAAGTTGAGTCACAAGATTCATTAGAGGAGATTAATTTGGGGAAGAAGCAAATAGAAGACTAACTTTTATCAGCAAGCTATAAAGTAAAGAAATGAAAAAAATACTTGATTGAATTGTTACATGAGTACAAAGACTACTTTGCAATGGAATGAGAATAAGAAGATATGTCTAAATTAGATCAAAGCTTGGTTGAACATCAATTGTTAATTATCAAAGTAAAGAAGCCAATCAAGCACACCCTTTGAAGATTTGTGCCTAAGGTGATAAACACAATCAAAGAGGAAATCAAGAGGTTACTAAAAGCCAAATTTATCAAAACAACCACGTATATTAATTGGAGTTTGAATATAGTTCCAATGATTAAGAAAAATGGTAAAATGAGAATTTGCATTGATTTTGGAGATCTTAATAAGACTACTCCAAAAAATGAATACCTCACGTCAATTGTTGAGATTTTAATGGATGTAGTGGTAGGAAATGAAATATTAAGTTTATTAGATGGGTATTATGGGTGCAACCAAATATTTTGACATTTCAAAAACAAATTTCGATTCTCGGGGAAATTTGGAACATATGAATGGTTGGTAAGGCATTTTGGATTGAAAAATTCTTGAAGCACTTATCAAAAGGCTATTGTTGACCTCCATTATCAAATTCTAGAAAGTGTATTGGTTCAATTGTAGTAAACAAGTTTCATATCCATAAAGATTTGTTCAAATTTATTAATAACCTTGAATCTATCTAGATTTGGAATGAAACAATACTTTGATTATTTTAAGCAAAAACATATGCCAATTAAAGTTTGAATAAAGCTAATAAGAATAAGTGTGTTGGGATTGAACATCATTATTCTATTGCTACAATATTGTTACTGGTTTGCTAAATGTTAAATTATCTACTCAATGTCCCAATGTCCCAAGAAGTGCTAAGTTAATTCTAAATCAATTCCTTGATTTAGAACCTAAGGAGTTTAGACTAAATGTAATTCCTCCTCCCTTGATTAAATGAATTATTACATTAAGAACAAGACTTTATAACTAGCTAAAGCAGATAGATTTAATATGTAACATTTTGGTGTAATGTAACTCTAGAAAAAGGTGATGAATAAAGCCTATAACAAATTTAAACAATGCATGCACAAACAAACAAACACGTAAATTATTCAAAGTAAAGAATAGGGATAGAAAAAATACACAAAAATTATATTGGTTCACTTGCACCTGAGACTAGGTTTAGTCTCTTAAGCAATTCGCTTAAGAAATTCACTAATCAACACCTTTGACTAACAACGAGTATCACCATCTCTAAGTTACACGAGTTTCAACCTCTTTAAGCTACATTGAGTATCAACCTATCTAGGTACCCTTCTCAATCTCCCCTTGAGATCAATAACTGTCAGTTACAACAAATAATTAGAAAACACTCTCACAACAATAATGCACAATTCAGGGCATAGGTTACAACCTGAGACAAGGATTTACATTATGTAAGCTCTCAACCCAATTGACTAATCATTAATGACATGACAATGTTTTATCACTTTGATCTTCTGTAAATAGCTTTGTTAATCTTTTCATATGACTTTACATCCCTTATATAGCTATTATAATTGCTGGTCATTTAGAATTCGAATTGCAATGATTTATCATAATCTTCTTGACATGGAATGACTTGATCAATTTATTAATTTGATTTCTTAGCTTGAATATTCAATGTCATTCTTCAATACTTAAATTCTAAATTTATTGATGATCTTTACAATATTTTCTTTTCTTTTATGAATTATTATAATTTGCAATACTTAATTTTCAAAATTTTGTGAAAATTGAAAATATTTGAGAAAATAAGATCATAACTTTACCAAAATAGAGATATTTTCACAACTATTTAAAACTAGGAGATATTTTCTCACATGATTTTTGAAATATGAGATGGTAATAGTCAATCATACACATTTCAATATCAATTATAATCAAACATGTATGTTTGAATGCAATGCATGAAATTATGAGAACGCCATTAAAATGCATGTGAAAAATAAATGTGCATGTGAGCATCTAATGTATCTGCATGTGTCTAATAGAGTTTAAATGCATCTAATAGGATAAATACATCTTATAGGCTAAATGTGTGTAATGTTGATTACATTGTATTAATCATTCATTCATTAAAGTCATGCTTATAAAGGTTCTCAGATGATTAAATTGCTCATCAATAAGAGATTTTGTAAATATGTCTACTAACTAATCATATGTTGAGACAAACTTTAAGTCAATAATAATTTCAATGTTTTGTCCTAAAATAAGTTTATAATAACATTATTGTCGTGAAGTATAGGAATGTTACTCTCATTTATAATGTAGTCCTCAAGTTAATTTTTTATCTAAAGTATTTGAGAACAACAACTGATTTATATATATATATATATATATTATACTTTTGCAGTTGATAAAACAATTATGACTTGCTTCTTACTACACCATGAGACTAAATTCCCATCAATGAAATGAATACCTAGTAGTGCTTTTCCCTTCAACCTTGGCTCCTGTATTGTCAAATTACATTATTCTTGCAAAGAATAATTTTCTTGGTTTTCGTAATATAGATAAAGATTAATAGTACTTTTAAACGATTTAAATATTTCCTGAACAATATTAAGATGTACTTCTTTTTGGGTTGGACTGAAATCAGACATTAAGACAAACTAAAAATAATATCAAGCCTAAATACAATAAGATATAAGGCTTAAATACTTATTTCGTCCCATGTTAAGAGGTGAATTTCTGTTTAGTACCCGATTTTAAAAATGCATCTATTAAGTCCCAAAGTTGTAAAAATTGTATAAATGAAGTCCCTTCCATTAAATTGCCTTAAACGGAGTTAATTCCATGCTCACGTGCCTATAAAATATGAATTTTTTTCTTCTCTCTCATCTGATCTTTCTGCAACGTTTCAACTTTTTCTCTCACTTCTATTTCCAATCATTGGCTCTCTTATGCAACTCCTTCTTCTCTCCCTCTCTTCTGCATCGTCCCTCACATATTCTCTCCCTCACAACCCTTGATATTTACTTCTTTAGATGTTTTAAAAACTTCTTTGGCAATACATTAAATTCAAAGTTTTGTAAAAAGAAAAAATTAAAAGTCAGAGTGCAATAATAACACCCACATTTCCTAGGAAAACACATCATTTTCTGTCCAACTATCCATCTGCCACCTTTAAACCTAACCTGCAAACCCAACACACAGAGACCATCTATCTATCAAACTTCGCTTTTCTCTTCTTCTTTTTTTGAGTTTTACGCCAAAACCTACATTTTCTATTACACCTTTTTGGCTTTTGCAACGAAACGACAAAGACCCAAGACCAACAACTGACCGCACAAAAGCAGGAAGCAGCAGAACAACGTTGTTGTGCTTTTCTTTTTCTATGATGGGTCTGAGCAAGCTTGGAACCGCGATAATGGCGGTGACCACGTTTACTCTGGTGGCCCTGGCCGCGGGGTCAGGAAGCCTAGACTCAACGAAAGAGGTGGAGGAAGAAGGAGCAGTGGCGACGAAAGTTCCAGAAGAAGCACTCTGTTGTGCTTTAGATTCGTGGGAGGAAGAGCTTAAGAAGCTTTGGCACACAAAAATTGACGAGAAAGATGTGAGGGACGATGGAGAAGAGAGGAAGAGAAGAAGGAGTTGCAGAAGAGAGCCATCGAGATGAATGATTGGAAATAGAAGTGAGATAAAAAGCTGAAACGTTGCAGAAAGAGCAGATGAGAGAGAAAAAAAAATTCATATTTTATAGGCACGTGAACATGGAATTAACTCTGTTTAAGGCAATTTAACATAAAGGACTTCATTTATACAATTTTTACAACTTTGGGACTTAATAGATGCATTTTTAAAACCGGGTACTAAACATAAATTCACCTCTTAACATGGAACGAAATAAGTATTTAAGCCAAGATATAACAATGAATTAATCATATGTCTATATTTACTCTAATATATTAGTTTATATTCATTTTATGATCCTAAGAATTAGATACATTAAAGTCTTCATCTCCTTTGTATATTCCAAGTTAAAAATCCTGAGAAGTTTTTTAAAATATTTCTTCTTTTATTGTTTTGTTTTTATTTGACTAACTCTTTTTTATAAATTTTATAAAAACTAATTTATTAGAAGTAAGTTCCAAGTTAATTGGAAAAGGACTTTGGACCATCTTACCAAACACTAATTTTTTCGCTACTTTTTTTTACAAAAAGTTAAATAATATTTACTTGTCTACATTCGAGCTTGTAGATGCATTCAATATTCTTCACACAACATTCAATGCATGCATATTCTTTACGGAACTTTTCAATCTTTAGTAAAGCATAGACCTAAAGGGTAGAGTTGTAAGTTAGTTCTTCAAAGAGATTTATGTAGACTATTCAATATAAGATGCTCTTTAAGAAACGAAGCGACAACCATTATCTAGCAACATAGAATAAGCACTTATAAATATTCAATATGTATCATAAAATGATTCAAACTATGTATAATTACTGTTTGTCTAAGAAAAAACTTATCAAACAAAATATATAAGCAAAGTGTTTGCAATTGTCAAAGGCAATAATTTACCAAAACTAATCAAAGAATATGCATAAGCAAAACACTTGCAGCTATTCAAGCAAATAAAGTATTTGCATTTGTTTAACAAAACAGGCAAAATCAATCATTAAAGCACATACAATTTAAAAGTAACTTGACTGGTTAATTTGCTAAAATGTTAAAAATGAGGTTACAAAGCTTATTTCAATTCTTTCCATTACGCATTTGAAAGGAAAATCCACTTATTTCCCCACAGGTAAAATTCTCGATACTATTAGCAAATGGAGAAAGGATGCGTAAAACTTTAAAATCATAACCTTCCAGAAAATCTGAAACTTTGCATATGCTTTATGATACTACATAATCATCGCAAGATATAGCGTAACATAGTTCAGCCGTCTTCGCCATTGCTCCCCCCTGACTCCGTTGCCCTTAGTTCTTCAGCCAGCATCCTCGCCCTGTTCTGTGTTTGCCTTTCTACAGCAACCATATACAGGCCTAGACAATTGAGTTACGAAAACAAGATTGTAATTGAACAGAGTTTCAATGAGAAAAGAAATAGCACAAGCCCTAGGGTTCAAAATACTTACCCACAGCACTTCCAATAGCACAAGCCCAAAGAATTCTCATGGACCACTTGTCCCCAATTACTCCTCTGGTTCCCATGGTATGCAGAATAAGCCAGAAAATTTGCTCTGCAAAAAGGATACAAGCTTAGCAAAACAAAAGAAACTGACACAATTTGTTGAACGATCTATTAAGTATATGTTCCATCTCCCCAAAAGTCCAACGCTTAATACAAAATAAGTTTAAATAGTTTATCCCTTAACCCACTCAACCGCTTCTAAAAGCACAAACTATGAAGGCCTGAAGAGTCAACATGAACAATATCTCAGGTATAGCCTCAGCCAACTTAAGTGGAACATTATCGTCCTATTCAACACAAACATAAATTTAATGATTAATAGTGTTTCAATCATCTTTTATTTATATTTTTAGAATTAGAAAATTAAAAAACAGAATAGAATATTCTGTTACAACGTAAGTTACTACCTCCACCTCAAAAAGCATTTCAATTAGGGTGGCTGCTGAGGCTCCTGCAAATCAATCACTGGACATTGCAGCTTCCTTATCCCATCGGTAATTTCTCAACATCCAAAGAAACAAAAAGAGTGTCTAGGTGTACAAAGCGTGTATGCTAACATAGGCATTGTATCCACGAGAGACATGTACTCGGTGTTAAGAACATTATGACCATTTGGAATACTCTCAAGTCATATTTTTTTTTTCCAATTCTTCCTCCCCTCTTAGTTTTTAACTGCAGTAGAAATGGTTTGGAAACGCCTTAAGCACGGAGAAATCATAAACACACTAACAGAGCCTCCCCAGGGCCGTAATACGCATCAACCAGATAGACAAAACCAGAATCACACAAACCCAATCACGCAGAGAACACAATAACAGTGAAAATCATGCTACATTAATCCAACCACGAACAAATGAACTTCGGCAAAATCAGACTAAATAGCTTTTTAAAGCTCCAGGATTCAAAGTTTCATCCAATCATCAACCAGAAACCCCAACACTTCGTCAGACTCAACCCAAAATCATCTCTACCAATCAAATCAGAAGCCCGGACTCCAGTAGAATTATCCTTACCCTTTTTAAACATTTACTCATCAAAACATATACCATATAATATCATAATTTCAATTGATACATAGATACATACAAAGTCTGACACCAGATTAACTAACTCCGACTCATTAGTGATGATAGTACATATATATACCATAAACTGCATCTATATTACTTCTACTCAACCATTCCATACTATTACAAATCATTTAATCACAAAGAACCCATAATTAATCAAACATCCAGCATACCTAAAGTTCATCTAATACTAATAATTATACACAATATAAATTAAACTATATCATTACTGAATCAGACTTGACTACTTTACTAATCTTTCTAACGCATATAATAATCTATTTTATTAACAGAGCACCGAAAATGATCATAGCACTCTTATTTACTTCCTATGCCTACAAAAACCTGAACAAAGTATAAACAAAACATCCAACCATTTTATACGACATGTCACCATAATTAATATTTTTACTTTTCTTAAACTTTAACAAATTATTCCCCATTATATTTCTCCAAAACCACAACTCCCATTCAAAATATAAACATTACAAAACTCAGTACATTTTTTAACATCTGCACATCTTGAAAATAACCTAGATACAAGCAACATACTCAACTACCATGAACCAATTCACCCTAACATCAGATTAAAAGCCCTAAACACCTTAAATCAAACCCACGTGAACGAACAAATTTAGAATTGATCTTAACAGCAGTTAACTATCTCAACCTAAACTTTCATTCTCTTATTAAATTGTCCAAACAAATTAACAAATAGGTTTAACCCCATTACCCATACATTCATGCATCAGTATTTAACATTCCTACATATTAACTTAGTCCTCAAAACCACATGCTCATGACCATATTACAGAAACTTCTCTGCATCTTTATTTCCTAAATATCCCTTGCAACTACAACATTTGCCTACTTAGTTACATTCAATCTTTTCAGCACAGCAACTAAGACTAAAACCAAATTCAATAATCACTAGCCATCATACAATATTCTAAACTCAAAAGATACAAATTTTAACTTTATTTCCATCCAACTCAAACCAGATTTCCTTCGTCAATTAATAGAACCTACGTCAATTAATAGAACCTAGCTCTCAATTAGTTCAAACAGTACATCCAGAAAAAAGATTCCAAATGCCAAACCATTATAAATTATCCCATCCTGGTTTTATCTAACAAACATAAATATTGCAAAATATATACAAGATTTCACTAACTCTTTAAGACTTGCATTTTGTCAAACCATTATAGGTGCATAGATTACTATCTTTAATTCATTTCACGTTCCAGACCAAACAATATCCTTAATTTAACACTTATATCATCATTCTTTCCACCCTTAATCCAATTTCAAAATTCATCATTAAGCAATACCCAATCCCCAATTTGACCCAACCACCTTTCATTCTTCTTCATCGAAACCAACCATATAATTTACATCTTAAACCACAACATTCCAGACCATAAAACATTTCAGTTAGCACGTATATAACAGAACGCTCACCAATTACCAGCTTATTATCGAGTCCAATATATATATATATATATATATATATATATATCCAACAGACTGCTCCCAGTTTTACAATTCTAAAAGAACTCCAATCCAACATATCAACCAATTAAATTTTATAAACTCAGAATACTGCACAGATTAATATTCGGACCCAATATCACCATATTCCTAATTGAAACTGTACACAACTCTAATTTATTCCAAAAATGCCGAAGTAACAATTCACAACAAAACACCAACCCCTCATACAATTACGTCTAACCCAAACAAGGAAATAATAGCTCCCATACCTGTAAAATGTGTTCGCCCTCTCCGCAAAACGTTTTCTCCAATCACTTGCTTACTCGCACCTTTCTTTACTCTTTAGTTTCTACAATCACTTGCTTTAATTTATCTCTAACCCTCTCTTGATCGTCCTATTTATAGACTCTCTCCATTATCCCAAATTAAACTCCCGAACCCTAGAAATCAATTCCCCAACCTCGGATTCTTCTTCTCTATTACTGTTTGAAACTGCACATTGCTGTCATAATTTCTCCATTTCCCTTACTCTCTCGGAGCATTGGATTCTCTTCTTTCCAGGGTTTCAAAAAAAACAAAGAAAGGGAGGGGAGAAGGGAACTAAGGTGAAAAACAAAAGAGAGGAAATGAGACTCTCAAAATCTCACCCAATCTGACCCTGTCTGATCTTTGTACGTTATGGGCTTCTTAATCTGGCCCAAAATGAAATTCTGGTGTCAAAATATAAAAAAAAAAACTCAACTAAAAATAAAATATACAAGTTTTGCTCCAAGGCACACGTAGGAGTGAATATAATTAACTTAATTGTACTAAATCATAAATTATCTATACTATATTATATAATAAAAATTAAACTATTTTTATTAAAAATTAAATTATACAATTTTGCTGTTCAACTTAAAAAAACTAAATATTTTTATTAGAAGTTCAGTTAACTGCTTCAAACTATAAAACACATAACAATGATGAAAACAGACGGCAACCTGATATCGCAAACATACAACGGAAACACACATTACTTGCTTAAACACAAACAGAAGAAAATAAAAAATGAAGGAAACGTTTCTCAAACGCCAAAATTCGAGGTATTGTCCTCATTATCTTTCAGATTATATATATAAATGCAGATACAATACAACCTTATAAAGATTTCTTTTTAAATAAGTAAATAAAAATAATTTTAAAATTTTCGTAACTTCTATATTAAACTAAAGTAAGTGCCAAAATAAAAATATTCTGGATCACGCGAAAACAGAAATATTTTTTAGAGACTGAGATATATAAAACAATATATAAAAAAATATATTATTAAATTAAATTAAGGTTAATATGAAAATCAAATTTTAGGATTTTTATATTTTCAAATTAATAATAAATAATTATAGTTATTAATTCAATTTTTATTAATTTAAAAGTTATTTATAATTGTTTTCAAAAGATAAAAAGAAGTAGTAAAGATGAATTTAATAAGGTAACTCAAACTATTATTAGTTTGAAATATTCTAATAATCTAGTATTAGAGTCGGTAAGTGTTTTAAAATAATGAGACTGATTATTTTATTTTAAAATAATTCAATAATATAAATAAAATTTCTTAAACTCGTCTCATTACTTAAAATATTGTTTATCCCTCTAAAACTTTTTCTCTTAATCTTCTCTCACATCTCTCTAAGATTTTTCATCCTTTTGATCATTTGTTTGACGATCAGAAAGTTCTTAGGAGATAACAGTTGAGTTATCTCCACATCTATCCGATCAAATTTTATCCTAAAACAAGTAAGTTTTGACTCATTTTTCCTCTTTTGTCGTTCCATGCGTAATCTTGCTTCTTCCACATGTTCTAGATTAATTTAAGTTCCTAGGGACTCTTTCTGTTTTCAATTCGGTGTTTCGTAGGTGTTTATAGAATTTCCTTGCGTTCCAAACAACCGGGGAGACGTTTCTAGAGTTGATAGTTTCTTATTAGATAAGGGAAGCTAGACCTAGTCTTAGATTTATGTTTGTGATTTAAATTTAGTATCTCTATGGATGATAATGCGATTTAAGTGAAATTGTTATGTTTGTACCAATATTCTTGGTGTATAGATGATTAACAATGATTGTGTGATGTTTGAATGTTTGGTATGGTGTGATTGTAATGCTTTTGTTGTCATTACTGTATGGTAAAGTTGTATTATGGTTTGAAACTGAATTTAAAGTGTTTAAAGTAAATAAGAGTAATTTTTTTTGGTTTTAAAAGTAAAAAATAGATGTTTTGATGGGTGAGTTTGAGAGATAGGTGTTGGAGTGAGGAAGTAACTGGTTTAGTACTGGTATATTGTTATTTAAGACTTGTTAAAAGTATTCTTTGAGTGCAAATTGATATGGAACAAAGAGATAGTTTATTAGGATGGTTTTAGTGTGTTTCTAGTGTAAAAGAAATGTTTTGATTAATGGGATTTTGAAGCAAGGAGTGTAAATTGTTTTAGGAAGTTAAAGGTCTACTATTAGATCTATTATGACTTGTTTAGGCTTTTAAATGAGAAAACTATGGTGTAGAACTGTTAGGGTCATCTTAGGGTGAGTTCTTACACAGTGAGAACTTGAAATATAAGGGTTGTGAGTAATTTAAGGTGTTGAGGTGTGCTAGCAATTGTATTTATACTTGGTTATGCAGTTGGTGGACTGATATGGTATTGAAAAGTGTAGAATTGGTTTTGGGGTAGCTTAGAGGGATGATTTCTGGTTTGGAGTAGCAATTTGGAGTTATAGTAGTGTTTTCTGGTGTTTCTTAGTGTCTAAAAGGTCCTAATGATCAATTAAAATTGTGGGGAAAGTGCTCAAAGTCATAAAAATTGATTTGACCATAATTTTTGTTTTTAATCAATTATTCTATTAACTTAATTGATTAAAACAGACACTTCAACATAATCGATTATGCTACTAACTTAATAAATTAAAACAGACACTTTAGTTTAATCGATTATGCCAGTAGCATGATAGATTAAAATATACAACTTTGTCCTGTTTTGCTTTATGTAACTTTTGGTTTGCCTTAACAAATTAGATTACCAATCTAATCGATTATTAGTACCAATAATTTGAAATTGTGACTAAACTAAACCAAATTTACTTATATAGATATGATTTATGTTTTTCATTGCTCTTTTATGATCCTAGAAAATTTTATTATTAGTTTCAATATGTTGGTATGAAATGCGAAAGTGAATGAATATGTATATGGTTTCAAATGATTTCAAGGTTTGGAAAGTTAGTTTCAATGAGTGGTAATCGTTATGGACTAATAGTAGTAGACAAATTTTCTAGGTGGACATGTGTTCTATTTTTGACTCACAAGGATGAGGTGTTTGATTCTTTTGCAAACTTTGTAAAAGGATAGAAATCAAAAAAAATTTAAAAATCATGTTTATCCGAAGTGATCATGGAAGAGAATTCAAAAAGGAGTTTTTTCAAAAATTTTGCAAAAACTCTGACATGAGGAACAATTTCTCAATTCCAAGGTCTCCACAACAAAATGAAATCATTGAAAGAAAAAATGGATCTTTACAAAAAAAAAATGGACAAAATAATGGTAAACACTTTTAACTCTTTTAAGCACTTTTGGACAAAAGTGGTCAACATCACATGTTATTTTCATAATAGAATTTACATTAAATCTATCTTTAATAAAACACCATATATAAATTATGAAAAGACAAAAACCAACATTTCCTACTAATGTCAATGCTTTATATTATATGAATAATTTAATCAGACAAATTCTATGTAGACAAATTCTATGTACTCAAAAGATAAGAATGATTATAGTCAATTGAAGAATTGTATAATAAAACTAACAAACTTGTTGCGTTAATCAACTGGTTAAAAGGTTTTGAAAATAGAATCTATACATTGAAAAAAAAACAATTAAAACAATTTAAAAGAAGATTTTGAAAATCTAAATTTGATTTAAAAAAAATTAGCAAAATGACATAAATTATTGTCTTGTAAGAAAAATTAAGTAATGTTTACACTGTAATAATATTAAATAATAATAAATAGAGTTACACTCTAACAGTGAATAGTAACTTTTAATCTTACAATTAACATCCGATGCAACCATTAATACTACAACTAAAATCACAAATTGAATTTCAGCAAAATAATGACTGAGAAAGAAAGTTTTATAAATTACCTGCGCATAAAACACAAACTGTAATAGAAAATAACCAACAGTGTATAATAAAATTGTACAAGACAAAATCATAACTCATATATGCCGAAAAGGAACTGTCCACACAAAAACATTACTTTGGATTATTGCTTCTGGTGGTTTAGATTCGAGCTGTTACCGTACATTTTTATCTTAAAATGTGGTTGCTAATATGAAAACGTGTCCTCAAAACCTTGTTTTGTCACATTCCTATGTTTTGGAGAAGATTTCCACTGAACTTTTGGACTATCCAATTGATGTATTGGAAACGACATAATATTTTTACCCACACAGTAACCAAATTTGCCACGTTAAGGGAGTGATTAAAATAAAAGGTTGGTGTGCGTGTATCAATACTCAGCCAAAAATTCCCTTTTCTTGATTTACACATTAATTAATATTATAATCAGAAGAAGTGGTGGCAAAAACGAATAGTTATATCCAACAAAGATACAAAAAACACCAAACAGGGTAAGAATGCTATGAAATTCCTCAGCCGCCCCTCATATCTATGACATAACTCCTGATTTCATGTTCCTAAGTATTCCTCGCACACGCCACCATTTTTCACCACATCTCACACTAATCAAATACTTTTTCTCTTTATCTTCATTTCTTAATTATATATTTTTTAATTGAAAAAAAGTATTCAATGTTTACTCAAAAACTACAAAAGTCAATATTGATGTGTATACATATTAGAACATTAATTGCTTTATATAACATTAATACTGTATTAAACTTTTATTTAATTACAATTTTCAAAATTAAATACAACATTAATTTTTTACTACTCTAGTTATTATTTATTTAATTTTTAAATATTTTATTTACTTTTTTACCATTTATGTTCTCGTTCCCCCGCCCAATATTTAAATATTGAAATTGAAAAAAAAATGTGAATCTTCGCGCCGACACTTTGATTATATTATCTTATCTTATTGAGTTAAATATTTCATATTTATATTATTTTTTTTATGATATTATAAATGTGAGTTATCCGTGAATGAAGCGACATGCTTGGGTGAGAGGGTTGTCTATGGTAGCAGTTGAAAAATTGTATTTTTGTTTTGAAATAAGATTTGATTGAGATAATACCTGTGATAAGAAGTATGATTTGATTTGGGACAGTATTTTATATAATAACTTTTTTCTACGAGAAAAAGAAAAAAATCACATCTTAAACTTAATTTTAACGATGATTAATAGTAATTAATTATTGTAGATAGATACAATAAATAAAGCGGTAAAATAATTAATAATTATAAACTTTAGAAAAAAATGGAGTACTAAAACAGTTCGCGTTTTCCTTCCACAGATTCGGTGTTTTTTAGCAACGTACGCGGGACTTCGTAGTGGGTCACAATCAAACTAGACGGAGTTATTAATTGAACATGGATTCTTCGTTCTCGTTGCAAAGGTTTTCTCTTTCTCTTTCTTTTTTCTCTTTATCTTCTGTCTTTCACCAGAACGAATAGTTCTGGGTTGTGGGGCAAGCGAGAAAAACTGAAAGGGTAAATAATGGAGGGGGATCTAAGGCAGAAGCTGTTGAGCAAAGAGAGAAGAAAAGATGAAGAGGAAGAGGAGTTATCGTTGTGGAAGAGGTTCTGGATTGAGAGCAAGATGATGTGGATAGTGGCAGCACCAGCCATATGCACCAGGTTCTCCACCTTTGGTCTCAATGTTATAAGCCAATCTTTCGTTGGCCATATTGGCTCAAGGGAATTGGCTGCTTTTGCTCTCGTCTACACCGTTCTCATTAGGTTCGCCAATGGGGTTCTCGTACGTTTTTCCTTCTTCATCTAACCTTTCCAATTTTTTTCTTTTATTTTAATTATGAGTATTGCAAAAAAGTTGAAAAAGTTTGGTGTTTTTTGTCTTACAATCTTCCGAGTGTATGTTTCTTTGTTTTCTCTCTAGCTTTGCAAAGTATTAATAATATATATAGTGTTTTATAGCTTTTCATGCAGGAGCGGAGAAAGGAAGGGACATGTTGGTGGTGAAACGTGTTCATCTGATTATCTTTATTTTTATAACATCAAAACACAGGGTGTTCCGTGCTACTGTATTGTGACTCAGAAGCAGAGATCTGTTCGTCTATTGTTGAAAAGTTCAATACTTTCATTGTTTATTGGTTATTAATCAGAGAACAGATTCTTTGGGTGTTATAGATTGGATTTTTGTGATTGGTTGAACCAGGGTAACATGAGAAACATGGATTGTAAAGTGGAATATACTGTAGCTGTATTTAAAATTGTTACTTTCTGGGTGTTTATGTTTTTTTTTGTTTATTTAATTATGCCTAACTTATATATGGTGTGCAGATATGAATATTTTTTGACAACCTATTGGGGTTGTGTTGCAATTGCACTTATCAATGACTCGAATTTCTTGTTTGTATAATGATATTGCAGCTAGGGATGGCGAGTGCATTGTCAACACTTTGTGGGCAAGCATTTGGTGCAAAAGAATACAGCATGATGGGAGTGTATCTCCAAAGATCATGGATAGTTTTGTTCATAACTGCACTGTGTCTTCTTCCGGTATTCGTCTTCACAAGCCCACTTTTAACGCTCTTAGGCCAAGATGAAAGCATAGCACAAGTGGCAGGAACCATTTCTATTTGGTCAATTCCTATCATGTTTGCCTTCATTATCTCATTCACTTGTCAGACTTTCCTGCAATCTCAGAGCAAGAATGTCATCATTGCATTCTTGGCAGCATTCTCGATAGTGATTCATGTGTTTCTCTCCTGGCTTTTGACAATGAACTTCAATTTTGGGCTTCCTGGTGCAATGATTTCAACAATTTTGGCATACTGGATTCCCAACGTTGGTCAACTCATATTTGT